TGTGAGCTTTAAATCAAATTTTAACAACATCGCTATCCTATGAACAGAACTGACTGCATGAATATTGTATGGTATAAATTGAACTTACTGTAGTTTAAAAGATAAGTGCATGCATATACTTGTGCATGTAGTCTTGTAGACTTTATCTAAACGCTTGACATTAAAACACGTCATTTAAAATGTTTGCTTGTCAGTATTTTAAGGTGAATCGGCCCCTATCATAACTTCATTGTAGAAGCTATTTGCGAAAATTTAAGCGCTGCATGCTACTACCGCATTGAACTTTGAATTAGATTTTCAACTTGTTATTTTGCCATGTTTGTTGAAGACCAAATATATTTCCTTTTCTTGGGCTTTTGTATTGGTCGGATAATGCGAGCTAGACGAATTTGAGTTGACTGTGTTTTCATTTATAGTATTCGGAATTTTCCGAAGAAACTCGAAGCTTCAAAGAGAAATAACACGAGTTCAGAACGTATTCAAGAACGCGTTCCGCACGCGTTCAGGAAGGTGTTCCGAACGCGTCCAGGAAGGTGTTCCGAACGCGTCCAGCAAGGTGTTCCGAACGCGTCCAGGAAGGTGTTCCGAACGCGTTCTCGAAGGTGTTCCGAACGCGTTCTCGAAGGTGTTCCGAACGCGTCTTGGAACGCGTTCCGAACGCGTTCGCAGCATTAGGTTACTTCTGAGCAGTACTGTAAGCGATATTAAAATTTAAAAACTTGCCTAAAGTATTTCCACAGCGTTTCCTGTTGCCTGCTGTGTATTTTTCGTCTCTTTCGATTCTGTAGTCTTCAAATAAACTTGAGAAAACATTTATAAACTTGCAAGTTCAAAGCCGCTATTTTGTTTTCGGGAGGGCAATAATTGTTTACTTATTGCCCTGAAGGAAACATTGCATTTAATTAGGGTCATGTGACCACAAATCAACCAATCACGGATTGGCTTTCCCCCTAGCTATATAACAAATATATATATATATATATATATATATATATATATATATATATATATATATATATATATATATATATATATATATATATATATATATATATATAGTTGGGCATATAGTTGAATATTTTAAAATTGTTCTGGTATGGTCTCACACAAAGATGTATCATGAGAACCATTAGAGAATCTTTATCGAAAAAATACAACTTAGTAAAACAGAGCTTCATTTCCTTTTGCAGGATAGAACACAGTCAATATAAACACGTACAGAAATTACGGTTGCCATTGAGTAATTTTAGAAAGAACAAAACAATAGACACTCCGAAAAAATCACAACGACGTTAACGTTAAGTCTTTGGGCTATGTCTCTTGGCTGAGGAATAATTTCTTACATGCGATCAAAATGTTTTAAGTAATATTTCAAATCCGAGTTAGTGTTTTAGACACGTCTAAATACAAGTGCCATGAACAATGGCGAGGCGCAGCCGAGCCATTGTTCATGGCACTGGGGAAGCCAAGTTTAAAACACTAACGAGAATTTGAAATTACTTCTCACACATTATTAGATATTCATAGCAATGAGCATGAAATAATTAGATATTCAAAAAAGTGAGCGTGGGACATTAACGAATACATTCGCTTGAAAGTGTGCATGAAGTGTAACCATAGTTAATAGAGGAGATGGTTTGGAAACTCGTTAGCATTACAATAAAATCACAATAAACCTCATTATCTATGTTGTTCAGGTTTATACAAAAATGTGGTCTTTCATCGTCACGTGTGTATTGTATTTTTCTCAAGTCAACCAATAGGAATGTTCAAAATGTCTTATTGTTAGAGTCATGGATGGGCATTTGGACAAAACCGTCGCTATGGGCTGGTTGAGCAAAAATACAATACGCACGTGACGATGAAAGACCACATTTTTGTATAAACCTGAACAAAAACATAGATAGTGAGGTTTATTGTAATGCTAATAAGTTTCCAAACCATCTCCTCAATTAACTATGGTGTAACGAAGTATTCAGTTCGCTTTCGTCGTGAATTGATGAATTTGGTTTGCAAAAGAGCATGGCATCTTCTTATAATATAAGAAAAAGTGGTTTCGAGAACCAGAAAGTGTTTAGCACAGAATTGAAAAGGTATAAGGAAAGCCACTCGCTGATAAGGGTGATAAGGATAAGGCTCTATCTGGTGGAAAATAGAAAAGCCGAAGTGAATATACAGGGTGTCCCAAAAAACCCGAAAACTATTGAAATCACTTATTGTTAAAATTTGAATGCCCTACCAAAAAACTGAACATAATGACGCGCAAAATATTGACAAGGTGCATGTATTAATTTAAAATTTAGTTAAGAACGTCTCCTTGTAAAGTGCGCGATTTTGTGCTCTTGGGAATAGTTAAAGCAGCTTTTTAAATAGTTTCTTTATGCATGAAATTTACTTATGTCAATCATTTATGCATTCGTGGGAACCAACAGAGTGCTAATGCATTCAAATTGTAAGAGTTAAATTGTTTTTGGTGATTTCAATGGTTTTCGTTTTTTGGACACCCTGTATATTAGACAGTAAACATTAATGGTAAGTTGTTGTATTATTGCAGTGTTTAAAGCACTGTTTATTATGATAGTTGGTAAAAAATCGTAATTTTCTTTTTCGTACATTTATGTGGTTCTCAAAGTTCAGAAAAAGTGTTAGATGTAATAAAAGTGTAGTTAGAAAAAAATTCTAAATACAGCTTACTGTATTTAGAAATAATTCTAAACATAGCAATTAAATATATTTGTATAATCTTTTATTTACCCTAAATTTCCCTAATGTTCAAAGCCCTTCCCACTTGAAGTAATTAGAGTCCTGGTTTAGACGGGTATCCAGATAGATACATGTGATGTAAATTACACCATGTCATTGGCCGAAATGCCAGGAATATCTAATGTGTGAGAAGCAGGGGCGGCGGAAAGTCGATAATTGGGGGGGCTGATATTCATATATTCATGTTCTGCATCATTTATTTCCTTTGAAAGCGATTGTTTTTACAGTCTGTGAACACGAATATATGAATATCAGCCCCCCAATTATCGACTTTCCGCCGCCCCTGGTGAGAAGTAGAAGAAAAAACGTCGGCGACGGCAGTAATATTGTCATACATATACTTTTTTCTGTACACGTTTTCGAACGCTTGTCGCAAGAGAGAAATATCTAATTATCTGTGATGAAAATACAAATGCCAATCTTAATTTTCTTTGACATGTTATAACATTAAACTTCTAAGTGCATTTTCTGTTTGCCATGCAAAAATGACGTCAATCCAAAACTTTTCAATACGACGTCGCCTTCGCAAAAAGTTCGCCGCTTTCGTGTATGTGACATCAGTTAAAGCCCACGTCTCAATCACGAAAACGAGGCTCTATAGCGAAGGTGACGTACTTTCCAGAAGCATGTATCAAAGTGACGTCACAAAGAAGAAGTTTCAACGACGATTTGTAACGTAATGACTTGTGGTGCTGAACTGATCAAATTTCATGTACATGATTATAATATTTAATTGCATTTCAAATCATCAATGAAAATCCTTCGGAATGTAACATCTCCTTATATGACCCAGTCAAGGCTTTTATACAGAGTTATACTATAATAAGTAAATTAATATTATATTTTTTGTTAAACATTAAAGCAACATTATTAACATACATCATAAAATATATAAAATTAATATATAAAGATATACGTCGACATAAAGGTGCGTCGACATATATATATCAACAATTTTCATAATTGGAATGGTGCGGAATAGCGCTAAAAAAGGCATAGTAAAACCAGAATTTTTTGCATTGTTTTATAAGGACATGCAGGGTCGTTTTAACACACAAGACTTTTCGTTTTCAGAAAACATTATATTAATCAAAATGACAGTTATGAAAACATTCAAATAAATAGATATGTTAATTTGTTCATAAAACTGAAGCAGTCCTATAAATTATCCATTTTTCATTAGCCTTTTCGCCGCCATTTTCATAATGAACTTCCTTATTAGGCAATGGAATAACTTCAAGCGTGTCGGGAACTGACAGATAATATTATTATTTTAATTGATTATTAGTGCATGACGTAGGAATGATTAGGTGTCAAAGTGAGGGTGTGAGTGAAATAGTCACGAAAGAGAGCAGAGAGTTAGTTGAACAATCGTAGTTGGACTGTGACAGTGAGAGAGACAAATTGTATTGTGTGAAAGAAGGATAATAGCCCGTGCGCTACCTATACGTAATCGTGACCATTGTGAACCTTTTAATTTTGTTATATATCTTCGGTAAATTTTATGTTTTGTTTGAATATACATTTTTGTTACTTCGAACATTTGTGACTTGTCGAGGACTACATTTTGGAGGCGAATTCTCGACAAAGCGAAATTAGGAAAGACACTCACGCGAGTACATAGGTTATCGCTAATGAAAAGAACGACCATGCACGCTCATGACTGAGTATCTTTCAAGCATATTTCGCAAGATAACACAATTGCTTACGTATTGAAAGCCAGCAGTATATACACGAAAACATTTTCATCAAATTTTATCAAACAGTTCATATTAATAAAAATTTTCTAGCGAAATTACCTCGCCCTGAATTCAATCGCAGTTAACTTTTTCATGTATATCATACACCCTTTTCTTAAATGGCTGCCGATTAAAAATTCTTTTATGTGCATATAAATTGGCCCAACTAGCCGCGTACTCATGTTAATATTTCAATGGAATTTTTACCCAGAAGCGAGGCTAGTTGGGCCAATTTATATGCACATAAAAGAATTTTTAATCGGCAGCCATTTATGAAAAGGGTGTATTAGCTTTGTGCAAAAGGTATTCAAGCACTTCATTACTAATAATATTTCTTCCAATTAACGGACAAATTACAGTATTTCATTTAATACAGTTACTAATACAAGCATGCGATACGTGCAGTACTTGTTCATTTACTCGAGGATGCAAATTTGTCATTCAGTTTTTGTCAGGAACAGCAAGGCACAGAATAACTAGTGATTTCAAATGTTTCACAACACTGCTAATTCTCTGTTGAACGTTTCTTAACTTTCCAATTCATTCGAGACCACGTAACAATATCTTCAATTCCAATTTTAGCTCAAAAATCAGAAATTAGTCAGCAGAAAATAGCATGTTTACCGGTTTTTAAGTGATGAAAATAATCTGAGAACGACGTATCGGCGTTATGAAATCCTGGAGCAAACCAATGGACGTTTTGACAACATAATCTATGTTAGCACAGTATCATAAAATTGAACCAATATATCCCTTTTCCATATAACAATAAGCGCCAGTATCCAGTTTAATATTGAAATATTCTCAGATTTGCTATATCGGTACTATACTCAAGTTCTCGATCGCAGACGAAATTGATCAGTAACATCAACACCCACGTCTACATGTAATTGAATCGTGTCTGTAAACTGTAAATAGATACAACTATATGTCGATTAATCTTTTCAACGAAGAAGAACGAACGCGAATATAATTCTCGAGTATATGTGGCGTTGAAAATAACGAGTACGTACTGAATTCTCTCCATACATGTATATATATATCAGTTCCGACAAAGTTCTCCGTCGTGACAGCAAACCTTGTTATTCAACGAAACAGCTATCTCCATGATGCCATATAAATGTTGTTTTACTTTAGCAATTATATGACGAAATTGTTTTGTTGAATTTAATATGAGAATAATTTTAACTGCCACTGATCATCCATTGCCGCATTGATCAGATTTTCAACATGACACCACAAAGATAATGTCGATCTGTTTGTATACGTCGTTAAAGTGTCCCAAAGCATTTTCCCATACTAATATTTTGTGCAGAAGCTAGAGTATTAGTCCTGCAATTTTAGTAGTTGATCATGAATGTTTATTGGCCTAATTATTATTACTGCAGTTTCATAATCTCTGATAATCTGTGGTGTTAAAGTTGTTCCACAATGGCAGTTTTGTATTTGTAATGAAATCCACGGAAAGGTAATATATAAACACATGTATATTGTATATGCACTTGGGCGCTATTTCAAATTCACTTAAAACTTTCGAATGTTTTGTAGAGTTTTTTTAACTCGCTATAACTTGTACTTGGATCCATTCACGAAAATGACTGTAAACTGCACAATTCGTGAACGTATGATGTCGAGCCATAAAACGACTTCATTCTTGTGTGAACTCCCTTTTAGAACTCCCCATTAGGTTTTTTCATTAAGTAATTCTGATTTTCTGACGCGCAGTGTTGGGCATCCTCCAGTTTGTTTCAGTTTTAAGTTCATTTTTCTTGTTCAATAGTATAACTATACTTATTAAATGTTGGAATTATTTAAGTGTATGTTAATGTCGATATCGTACGATATATATTTAAAGTTCAATGTATAGTTTTAGAGCTAAAAGGTGACATAAAATGAAGTGTTTTATTATCCTATTTGAAGGAATTGTCATCTGTAAGATAAATTCCTTTTACATATTTTTATTTGCTTGTTTCGTTGGGGGAAATAATTCAGTTTTTCCAATTCATTTGGAGTGCAAATGCTTTAAAATACAAATTATCTGAAAGTTTATATGCTTTCATCCCGAAAAACAATCTGGAGTAACTATTTTCGCTTCATGTCACCTAGATCTAGTAGTAATACATATACTTATAGTACAACATTTGGATAAAAAATCTTGTCACTTTCTCGTATGTTTTACTTTTTCAAAATTTTATCTGACATTTGGTATATAATAAAATCCTTGTTGACTGAAACATTCTGGAATCAGTATTATAATAGCAAAATCAGTAGGCTCTAGCTGCTCCACAAAACATACTAGAGAGCTTTAGATTTAGCTACGAATACGATAACGAGAAATTTTGTTGTCAGGAAAAAAATAAAAAGGATATTTTGTTATTTCTAATTAATCCTAAGAGCAATTTCCAAGCAAATTCGCGTCAGAAAGTGTCGAACATCCTATCCTGGGGAATGGAAAATCTGAAAAATTTCTGAGGAATGACCTCAAGCCCCCTGGTTCTTCTACTTCGAATAAATTTAGATAAATTTCCCCTTTGACAATCCCTCCCCTGCAACGTCCATAATCCTTCTGGCCCGAGAAAAAATCCATCATTTTTTTTCAAACTAGATAAAATTCATCAACTTTAGTGCAAGGAAATTTTGTCAAAAATAAGGACATTTTGAGTAGTTGGGAAGGAAATTATTTTGGGGGGAGTGGAAGCACTGGTCTTAAATTTTCTAGATGAAAGTGGGGGCGTCTTGAAAATAAAGGTCTTTTGATTGGGGTGGTATAAAAAATGTTTAATATTTGGTATTTATATTATCCACCACTCCCCGCACCCTCCCATTATTATTATTAATGACCGGTTCTTAATTGAAAATCTTTTAAAATGCTCTGATGCTTACTCCCAACAGTTTTGGCTTATAGTGCAGTGCACGAAATTTAAATCTTTCGTCTTGTACACAGACTATAGGCCTGATCATAGTTAATAGAATGGATGGTTTGGAAACTCATTAGAAAAACAATATAACTCATGTATATGTTCGTCAACGTTTATTCATAAATCTGGCCTTCACCATCACCTGCGTATTGTATTTTATGCCCAACTAACCAATAGCAATGCTTTAGGAAAGTTACCTATCCGTGACTCAAACAATAGGGGAAATTGGAAATTGCTACTGGTGGATTTTGCACAAATACAATACACACGACACACGTGCATGACGGTGAAGGACCATAATTATTTATGAATATAAAAAACGCTGACTAAATAGATAAAACAATACAATACACACGACATACGTGCCGGTGAAAGACCATAATTTTTTATGATAACTAACATAGATAATTAGTTATATTGTTATTCTAATGAGTTTCCAAAGGGTGTATCAAAAAACCTGCAAACACTATAATTTGCATTATTCTGTTGCTTGCTAGCATTTCATTGTCTGCGCTACTTATTTTGCTCCTGGGATTTAGAAATACATTCTAATTAACCGCGTTGATAGAAATTAGAATAACACAAAGTTATTTGTAATGCAGAAAACTAATTATCAGTGCGACTGCGAATGGGTCAACTATTGTGTGTTTACGCACGCTTGGGATCAATTAGTTCTGAATCATGCAGATTCTAAAAAAATTGTATTTCAAAGGGTTTGCAGAATTTTTTATACATCCTGTATTTGTTAACAATGCTTTAGGGTATAAACATAATAAATACTGAAGACAACACGAAATATTATAAACAGGGATATTCTGTTTAAGGGGTTTTTTTAATAATACTTTAAAAAATCCTTAATTTTCTGCAAATTCCACAATCGCTTAGGGACAGCTCATTATTTATTGTACAGGGGAGGGACTGAGGAGAAACTCTACAGTTATAATATTTTTTTCGTTGCCCCCTCTTAAGGCAAGTAGAATTTTCAAAGCCCCCTCCAACAGGCAAAACAAGAACATTAATTTTGGTGCCCCCCCTGACTCTAGCTCTTTATTTAGAGAAATAAAAATAGATAATGGGGACTAATAGACAATTCCCATTATAGACTAATTTTTATCTTAGCAAAAAATATATATTCCCGGTAAGAGCATACTAAAATTAGTAAAATTGAAAATTTTGGTTATGAAATGTTGTAAAATGTGAAAAATATAGCCTTCCAAAGTTTGCAAATTTTGTATACTTTTGTACTGCGTGCGGCCGGTAGCAATTTCCGCATGCAATACAAAAGTATACCAAATTTGCAAAGTTTGCAAGGCTATATTTTCCATATTTTAGAACATTTCGCAACCAAACTTTGCAATTTTACTCATTTTAGTAAGCTCTATCTAGATTCATTTGCATCTCTTTGCCTAGTTTAAAATTAGTCTATAATGGGAATTGTCTATTTACATGAACATAAAAGACTATTTATTTTTTTTATTTTTTTTTATTTATTTGGCTTCCATTTATGATATTAATATTAAAGGCCTATAAACATTGTTATTTGTTGTTAAGTTGTTTTGTCTACATTTTTAAAATTACAAATGTTTTTTCAAACTACAGTAGTAAATCTTTTCAAAGCCCCCCTTCTTTCGTCTCTCTTTATTTTTTCAAAGCCTCCCTTTCAGGTTTAAAAAAATTAAAGGCCCCCCAGTTTCTCCTCAATCCCCCCCTGTACAATAAATAATGAGCGGTCCCTTAGGACAGTTTATGAGGAAATATTTGATTTATTTTGCGAAACATGTGTAACAACATGATAGATTTTCCTCAAAGTGGCGGTGAATAGTATTTCTAAACAGAAATAGACAAAAAATGTTATGTTGAAAACGAGATAAATTTTACTTTTGGTCTAGCCACAAAAATGAGAGGCGATATTGGTCGAATAATTTCAATTGATGACAGAAATTAAGCAAGTGGCAGAACGTTTACGCAATATAGTTATAGGTTGCTTAAATAAACCAAAGATTTATTCGTTAATGTCGAAAATCACTGCTAGTGACAATTATAGCAAAACGCGTACAGCCAATAGAAACCAAAAAATTCAAATGCGGACGTTCTAAGTCGTTCTAACTGTCCAGATGGTCGCGATTTGATAAACTTCTGTAATTCTTTCAATGTAATACAATTATAGTTCAGAAACCTACGAGGATTACAGATACCTAGACCCTAATTTATGTAGCGATAACAACAAACGTAAACATTATAGCTACAATCCTGGTCAGAAATCCTTGGCGCACTTAGTCGAAATAGCTTAACTTTTACTTCATTTCTTATTACCATATACATACTTGCGCATTTTATGCAAAATTTCATGTTCAGACATCCCCCTATCCCCCCAATCAATGTTGTGTAACACCTTGGACGTCTAACACACAACCACACAACATTGAACGGGGGAAAGGGGGGGGGGTTGCTATGCTTGTTATTGAAATGGGAGTCAAATTTCGCACAGTCAGTGTCAAGTGCGCCAAAATTTTTGACCAGGATTGTAGCTGTCGCGTGAAACTATCTACAGTAAGCGACCATAGTCTTATATCGCTTACGCTAGAACTTAAGGCTCCGAAACCCAGGCATTCCCACATTATCACAAGGGTCTATAAGAATTTCAACCCACACGCACTTCTCGATTATCTTAACGCTGTGCCGTTTCAGTGTTACAGAATTTTCGACGACTTTGATGATCAAGTCGATGCATTTAACAGCCTTTTTCAAGACACGTTGAATGTTTACGCACCAATTATGCGTATTAAAATCAAGTCACAAGGAGCCTAATTCTTATTCCCTTGAAATTAGACAATTAATGAAACTTGCGACAGTTGGCACAAAAGAGCCCTAAAGACAAAGGCTAGGCTTCATTGGAAAGCTTATCGCTTTTTCAGACAAGAAGTAAAGCGTGAGATCCGAATGGGCGAGAAAAAATACGCACAGTTCCACAGTTCGCTCTCCATGAACTTCAAAACTGCAACGGAAACACCAACACCATTTGCAAAGTCATTAACCCTCAATGAGCGGACAATTTACCTGCCGTCGGTGACGACCATCAGTTTGCATTCCAGACCTTTACCGAAAATGACGTTGCAAAAATTATCAGAAGTCTACCTTCCAACAATGCTCCAGGCTATGACAAACTCACACCTATAGAGTCCTTAAATACAGTTTACCAGTTACTTTCCCTGTTATTACCAAACTCATCAATTTCTCATTTGCCTCGAATAATTTCGGTCGGGCCAGGAAACTCGCGAAGGAAATTAAGACAAGACATAAATTAGACAGTATCAGGCATGGCCTATTGTTAAAACAAGTTACACCATTCAATTAGGCGTGTCTCCGTCTGCTCTGACCTGGTTCAAGAGTTGTTGCGTAAGCAAATTGCCCAAATAGGTTGAGCTCTATCTAATCTCGTTCTCCTGACAGTTGGCGTATACCGCAAGGATCCATATTTGGCCTTGTCTTTTTACTGTACATGTTAATGAACTACTATCAGTTTCTAAGCAATGCGAAAGTATGGGATATGTAGATGATACCAAAGTTCTCCTTCCCAAGTGAACTCAACGACGCTATGTTTGTCTTAAACCAAGATCTCTTGGCCGTCTCGAGATGGTATTGCATCAACTCACAGCTAATAAATCTTGATAAAACCAAACTATACACGTAGTAGGAGTCCACCAGTTCGCCCAATCTTTGTCTCTACCACCTGTGTATGTGCTGAACAAAGAAATCAAGCCTTCACCAGTATTTAAATACTTGGATGTGTTGATTGATTCTAATCTAACTTATAATAATCACATTATAAAACTATCTGAAACTGCATCTGCAAGTTAACTCGCATAAACTGCATTAAACATTTATTAGATAAAAAGACGCTGATTTTATTTATTAATGCGCATGCATATCCGTTTGTATTTCAGTGAAATGTTATATTGTTCCACTGTCTGGAGCAATACATCTAAACACGAATATATTGCAAAGATCTAGCTTGTTCGAAACTTTGATTCTAGAATTGTTTTAAACAAATACCTTAATTTATTGGGAATGAGGCTCCTGAGTATCTAAGCAGTATGTTTGTTACTAGAAATAGTATTAGCCGAAGAACAACAAGAAGTAGTAATGACCTAAATCTTCCCAAATGCAGACTCGTTGCCAGTCAATGTTCTTTTGCATTTGGAAGCGCTAGAGTTTTTAACAGCATACCATGCAAAGGACTTGCAATTTGCCGCGTTCAAGAGCGAGCTGGCAAACTATATCATAAACTTAACTACAATAGTTAATCGTATTCGCAGTTTTTAGATCCCGACAAAGAGTGTCGTAATAAA